AATCTCACGGGTGTAAGGGACACTAGTGGAAGCCCGTGGGTGTAAGGGACACTAGTGGAATCTCACGGGTGTAAGGGACACTAGTGGAAGCCCGTGGGTGTAAGGGACACTAGTGGAATCTCACGGGTGTAAGGGACACTAGTGGAAGCCCGCGGGTGTAAGGGACACTAGTGGAAGCTCCCGGGTGTAAGGGACACTAGTGGAAGCCCGCGGGTGTAAGGGACACTAGTGGAAGCTCCCGGGTGTAAGGGACACTAGTGGAAGCCCGTGGGTAGTTTCCAGTATTTGCCCTATAGCCTTTCCAGGCTACTGACAACCCTACTTTTGTTTATGCCTTTTCCAGGCTATTGACAACACTTCAAGACTCTACTTCAAGACTCCGCACCAATATTGAAGCATCAAGAAATATGGGCCAATAGGCCCTTTGCAGTTACTCCCATTCTTCCCTTTAACTTACAAAATATTATATCCATTGTTTCGTGTTTTGTCTTGTGTTGAAAGTTTGTTTTCACCTCATCTAAAACTGTTGTAACATATCACCTCACCCAAATGCAGGTATAAAATCGAAGCTGTTTAAACTCTGTTCAGTTATAGTTGTGTGTGTGTAAACTAAAGTCTTTGAAAATGTAGTAAGTTTTACGAAACGCGTTCAAGTGTTGCGTCAGACTAGAAATAAAAATTAATTTTGGGTAATTGATTTTTCAGTTACCATCAACAGTAAAAAGCAAAATAGAAAGATTGAGAAAATTCGTGTTAGAATTATTAATCTTACTTTTTTCGGTCATATTTAATAATATATGTCTATACAGAAAGACTGCTACCAAATATATACTAATATATATATATATATATATATATATTTATATATATATATTATATATAAGATATATATATATATATATATATATATATATATATATATATATATATTTATATATATATATATATATATATATATATATATACTCTATATATATATATAAAGTTAGTAACTATGAAAGTGTTTAACCTTTCACTGCAAGATGACCAGTGGGACCAAGCAACGCTCCCAGTTAGACTCGGGGGGATAGGTATTCGCAAGGCGACACAGTTAGCATTGCCAGCATTCTTATCCTCGACCAGTGCTACAAGTGAATTAGTGAATGAAATACTATCAGAATACCTAAGGAACTTCACTGGGATTCGTGATCTCAAACTTGTGGAAGGAGCTGGTCAGTGGGACACTCTTGCTAATTCACACACTCGACCAACTTTTCCAAACGACGGCAAACAGGCCAAATGGGATAGCCCCATAGTGGAAAACATTGGCAAAGCATTGCTGGAGGCAGCTTCGGAGAAGGACAGAGCACGTCTTCTAGCTGTGCCAGCCCCCCATGCCGGGGACTTCCTGTTGGCAGTCCTTAATTCCGCCTTAGGCACCCGCCTGGACCATCGGGCCTTAAGTATTGGTGGTGCCCTGCGCCTTGCCGCCCCTATCTCCACCGAACACCGGTGCTTTTGCGGCCATGCACGGGCAGACCAATACGGCAGCCATGGTCTCATCTGCTCATCTGTCGTAAGACACAGGGAAAGATTGCCAGACATGAAGCAGTCAATGACATCATCAAGAGAAGTTTGGCTACAGCTGGGTGCCCAGCACAAAGGGAACCTCAGTTGTGCAGGCCTGACAACAGCCAAAAACGCCCAGATGGAGTCACCCTGCAGCCATGGAGGGAAGGTAAACAGGTCGTATGGGATTACTCATGTGCTTCCACATTGGCTGATACCTATCTACCTTACAGCTCAGTGGAGGGAGGTGGGACGGCCACCTTCAGGAGACCCAGAAAATCAACAAGCACAGAGACTTAGAACGTTGTTACAGGTTCGTGCCGATAGGCTCTGAGACTCTGAACGCCTGGGGTAAATGTGCACTTAAGTTCCAAAAGGAGGTGGGTGAGGAACTCATTGGGAAAACTAGAGACCCACGAGCGGCCAGTTTCCTGTCACAGCGCCTCAGTGTCGCAGTTCAGAGGGGAAATGCGTGCTGTATCCTGGGTATGCACCCAACCTCCGAGGAGCTGGAGGAGGCCTTCGAACGCTGATTGTTATATTGTTATATATTTGTGTGTGTGTGTTCTCTGTAAACTGTAGCATTGCAATAAAATAAAAGAAAATAAAACAAAACAAAACTAAACAAAAAATAATAGGGGTGGTAGGTGAAGAAAAAATTTAAGTGTTAAGTGAGAATCCACAAGATCTTCTCTAAAAGCTCTTTGTTTTCCTTTTCGAGTATATGGGTGGTCCCGCAATGCACCAGAGGTGGCATCCCTATATATATATATATATATATATATATATATATATATATATATATATATATATATATATATATATATATATATATATAATGTATGTCGTACCTAGTAGCCAGAACGCACTTCTCGGCCTACTATGCATGGCCCGATTTGCCTAATAAGTCAAGTTTTCCTGAAAATATATTTTTCTCTTATTTTTTTCTTATGAAATGATAAAGCTACCCATTTCATTATGTATGAGGTCAATTTTTTTTTATTGGAGTTAAAATTAACGTAGATATATGACCGAACCTAACCAACCCTACCTAACCTAACCTATCTATATAGGTTAGGTTAGGTTAAGTAGCCGAAAAAGTTAGGTTAGGTTAGGTTTGGTAGGTTAAGTAGTCGAAAAACAATTAATTCATGAAAACTGGCTTATTAGGCAAATATGGCCTTGCATTGTAGGCAGAGAAGTGCGTTCTGGCTACTAGGTACGACATATGTCTATATATATTATATATATATATATATATATATATATATATATATATATATATATATATATATATATATATATATATTTATTTATGATCGATGTTCCCTTCGGGAATCTTAATTTTAAGATGAATAGGAAAACCAGGGATATACTGAACATCTTGTTTCAGATTCTTTACTTTAAAAGAA